CATGGGAGAAACCTCAGGGAGAGCAACAGAGGAGGGATCCCTCTCCCAGGACGGACAGACGTGCAATAGATGCCGTTTGTAAATCGAAGAGATAATATATTTGCAACATAGGTAGTCCAAATGTTTGGAAATGCATGTGTGTATAATAGGAAGATAAATCCACGAGGATATCCATCCAGGACTTATGATCCAGGACCACAGCAATAGGCAAAGCCGCGACTCAAGATCCAGGGCTCGCGATCCAGGGCTCGCGATCCAGGACACAGGACCGCAGCAACAGGATCATCCATGACTCCGGATCCCGGTGTATATAGACACCAAAAAGAAAGAAATTTGGGGAAGCTGGGTTAATCGGAACATGAGAATACACAGGTATAGACAGAGAGAAGGAAGAAGTAAGGTTTCCCCCGACAAACTAAGCCTATATCAGCAAAACTAGGGGCTGAATCTAATCAGCCCTAACTATAAGCTTTATCAAAAAGGAAGGTCTTAAGCGCACTCTTAAAAATGGATAGGGTGTCTGCCGCCCGAACACAAACTGGAAGCTGATTCCACAAATGTGGAGCTTGATAAGAAAAGGCTCTGGCTCCCATTGTACTTTTAGAGACTCTAGGAACAACCAACAACCCTGCATTCTTGGAACGCAATGCCCTTTTTGTTTTCCGACCCTTAAACTCTACTCTATGCAACTCATTCCGGCAGGAACAATTCTTCATATATATGTCAGACGTTAGTCCTTCAGTTTATTTCTGTTCCCCCAAGTGGCCATAAAAAGAAATGAATGCGGCTCAAATTTCAATTCGACAGTGGGAGAAAGGAAGATGTATTCTCATGAAAACCTAAAGGAAAAAACATGTTGTGAATTGCTAGCCTCTGAAGAGGAATAATTAACCTTCAGTAATATTGTAAATGTGGTTGTTTTATAATACAAAACTCACCATCCATTGTGTTTTTCATCCCTTTATAGTAACAAACTACAAGTTTGACAAGTCCAAACATTGTATAAGCACCATGACGGTGGAAATTGACTTCCTGCAGAAGAAGAGTGTGGACAGCAACCCCTACGACTCTGACAACATGGCCTGCGAGTTCATCCAGCACTTCAACAGCCAGGCCTTCAGCGTCGGCCAGCAGGTGCCGGGGGCTTGGAGGGGATAATAATGTGCCATCTGAATATTCATTAAAACCAGACATGCTCCCATATTTGGGAATTACTGACGACCGTTTTGTCGCTGTCAGAATGACTTTACGATTACACAAGAATGAAAAAAACAGAATGTGATGTTTGTTATCAGCAAAAACACAAACATGCTTAACAAGACCAGCCAAATGAATTGCTTCAAATGCTTGGGTTTTATTTATTTACTTAATGTCCCAATACAATAGGACAACTTTGTTCCCTTTGTTTGGATTAATTCAAAGTTTTTGTTTTGTCTTTATCTCGTATGGACTCTAAATGTTGTTGTTTTCTCTCTGTTCTTTATCTTCCAGCTGGTGTTTAGTTTCTGTGATAAGCTGTTTGGCTTGCTGATAAAGGATATTGAGGCCATGGACCCCAGCATCCTGAGAGGAGAGAATGAGTCTGGCAAGAAACCAAAGGTATCTGGAGAACAAAGCGTCTTTTTCCCATGATGTTCATGATATTATTTACCTAAATACATAGTATTACTAATGTACACAATTTAAACCCCATGTAGTGAATTTATAAGTGTTTCAACTGGATGTGACTCTTTTTTGTGTATATGTATAGGTTACTGCTCATTGTCCTTTTCCCACATGATAATCCTCCTTCTTTTCTCTTCCCTAGATAGAGATAGGTTTGTTGCTAGGAAACAGTCAGGTGATTTTTGAGAAGTCAGAGACCTCATCCATTACCCTGGTTGGTAAGTATCAACAAAATATCTTTTAAACACTTGAAATGTTCTTTCATCATCTTCCAGGAAATTGTTTGTGATTGTCCATTATTCTTTTATAGTTTCTTCACAGGTTGAATTAATAAATAACATAGAATAAATAGGCAAAACTTAACCAAATAAACAAATACTTTTTAACAATACTCAGAAACTCTCAACAGTCAAATGTATAAATCTTTGAATCTTTAGTGGTTCTAACCTTCATCTTACATCCTGTGCAAATGTTAAATACAGCCACTAAAGCTGACATTAAATTAGAAGATGGTGCCTTTCTGAAATCCCTGCAAACCTCACACTTATTTATGAACTAGAAAAGTGTATTTTTAAATTTACCGGCTGTAGGGCGATTTCCCACAATATCACAAGGGGGCGCCCTCTGCTCTTTTTTCCTCTTACATTTTGTCGAAGTGGCTCAATATACAAGTCTACCTGATGGGCAGTTCACCTTCATATCAATGTTTAATATTGAAAAAGGTTCTGTCTTTATAAATATAACAACAATCTATTCAAAGGTATAACCTTGAACTTACCTTGTTTAGAGACAAAGTTCCTAACCTAACCCGATCTCAGCGAACAATCCTTTTGGCACTCATAACAACAACAGTTCATTTAAAGACAAAATGCAATTTCAATCAGAGAACATAGGGCTTTCTAGTTGATCATAAGTTGATCATTTATTTTCTTTTGTGTCACCCCTTCAGGTAAAGCCAAGACCCGAGGGTCCCGCCAGGCCATCATCAGCCCAGATTGGAACTTTGAGAAGATGGGCATTGGCGGCCTCGACAGAGAGTTTTCTGACATCTTCCGCCGAGCCTTCGCCTCCAGGGTCTTCCCTTCGGACATAGTAGAACAGATGGGTGAGTTTCCCTCGTTTCTCTCTAACCAGCCATCACTTATTTATTTATTTGTGCCTGTTCTTCCTCATTTCAAAGTCGGGATGGAAGGCAGATGGTGATTTTACAAGATTGTCCATTTTAAAATGAATAAAATACATAAAAATAAAATATAATATATTTTATAAATATAAGAATGTGCAATAAAAAGATCAAATAAGATATATAAACTTGACAAATTAAAATAATAATAAAAAGGGATGATAATAATTGGGGTTGTGTATTGGCAAAAGTCTTTTGATAGGATAGGTCTTACTATTCAATATGTTGCGATACTATAAGCAAGGCAAAATATAGCTATTCAAAAACATTATCTAATTTTAGGAAAGCTGGCATAGTATAAAGAACACGCCCGTATATGCATAACATTTGAGTCAAGTTTTTTCATTTTTTTTTGCAATACAGTGGAATCTGTGTTCTGAGTCTCTGCAATACCCAACATAAAAAAACAATGCAAAATCAAACATTATTCATTAAAATCAATACATTATTTTTGAGAATTGATGTAGTCTCACAAAACATAATATATATTTCCAAACAGGTAAGAGGACAAATGTGTATTTATAATTGTGGGTTACCTTTCACGTACAAAACTAATGTATAATTGATATGGCTATTACCTCATCATGCTTTTTTTAACAGCTGCAAGGAGCAGAAAACCACACAATAGTTAAGTTGTGAGAAACACTTGTGTCTCTTCTCTGTCTTTCAGCATTCACAAGATTAGTTGTACCTGCCAACAAAATAATCGCTGTTTTCAGTTATTATATTTAGCTTGTGGTTAATCCTTACACCAATATTATGACAAACCAAACTATGAATTATTATTTTGACGAATGAATGTTTACCCGAATCAGTGAAACTCAACAATCGACAATAGGCAGATTGTTGTGACTCGACCATAAATAAAACCCTGCCGGTGATCCCTGCTCATACTCATTAATAGATCTTTGACAGCTGTCAGATTACCGCGGTGATTCACTTTGCAAAGTCCATCAGGTACTCTTCTTTGTGACTCATACACACACAAAAAAAACCTCCTTTCCCACACATACAATCACATCTGTTCTAATCCTCACTCCTAAGGTCTTGTGAAAACCTGTTGTAAAGACCTCTGAGCTTGGCAAACACACACACTACTTAAATCTGGTGCACATACGCACAGTGCCCGGGGCCTGTGGCAGCGTCCAGCAGTGTGTGAGCTGACCTTTAGCCGCCCGCTTGTGTGCAGCAGTCGGCCTTTGGCTGTGGCCAGCTGGCTGCTGTAATGAGATGGCATGCCCTGATAGAGCATCCAGCTAAAGGTAAAGCTGTAATTGGCGGGCGGGGGGGAGCGGGTGCTGACGGAGAGGTGGCGTGCGTGTGTGTGTACGCTGCACATTTTGCGTGTGTGGCGAAGCAAAAGTTTTGAAAGTTTCACCTTGTCTCCCCTTTGCTCCCTAGAGAGGTGAAGCAGACAGACAGAAGCTTCAGTGCTTTCTCTCCCAAACACAGCCACATAACCTTTACCCCACCTCCACCTGTCTGTCAGCCTGCCTGCTTCTCCTTCAGCAGGCCCAAATGGCAGCTCAGATGGTTATCTGGGGCCTCGCAATTAGTCTGGGCTAAATGTCATTAATGCAGGTGCAAAAGGCCATTACAAGACCTACACTGTGAAGTTGTTTGAGTGGAGAGTTTGCAGTCTCCATACTTGATCTTTATGGAGGTTGAATTAAAAAAATAAGCCAGTAGTGATGAGAATGACTGGAGTAACTCTCCAGATTATGCTACCCTGTATTAAAATCATGGTCTGGACTCTTAATGTGACAACTCTTTATTAGGGCCAAGTAATCTTCAACTACAATTTGGCTTCCAATAAAGCCAATACAAAATTTGGATTTAAATGTTTTAGTTTCTTTATTTTATGATATATGTCTTGATTTAATTGGTTCTCATCACTCACTGCTGAAGGGGGTATGGATCGGTTACGGTGGATAATGCAAATATTTCTTTGGTCATGTCCATTTGTCAACCCATGGAAAGGACAGGGGCATTTAGTCTCCGAGATTCTGGAGGTTGAATCTAAAGAAATTGTTTTTCACTTTATTGAACCTTGAACATTTTCAATAAAGTGATCAATCAAAGCGACACATCACTTTTTGAAGATTTTAATAGCAACAATTTAAAAAAAGAGAAAAGAAATGTAGAGGAAGCCTTATCCACATAATCAATTATTTCACCTCAATGTAGGAAGTTATTTCCATTGTAGTACTTCAAAAGGCGAAGGGGATAAATACTGGGGAAAATTAGATTGTTATAATCATCTAGACTTAAAAAAATGTCTCCTAGTTTTTACGTCCAAGCTGTACCAGTGACTTTCTTTTTATCCCTTCGAGCTGTTATGTTCCAGCACGGGCTTGACCTACAGTAGCAAAGGTTTGAGCTATATAGCTAGTAGAAACATGTTCTGTGTAAGTATAACAAAATGAACAGCCTGTTCTCAGTTTGACGTATGTGTGTGTGTGTGTGTGTGTGTGTGTCTCTCTCTCTCTCTCTCCAGGCTGTAAGCATGTGAAGGGTATCCTGCTGTACGGACCCCCAGGCTGCGGCAAAACCCTGATGGCACGACAGATTGGCAACATGCTTAAGGCCCGGGAGCCGAAGATTGTCAACGGCCCCGAGATCCTGAACAAGTACGTTGGAGAGTCTGAAGCCAACGTCAGGAAGCTGTTTGCAGACGCAGAGGACGAACAGAAGAGGGTGAGGAGGAGGACACATTATAGTATATACTCTCATGCACAAAATAATAGATGAACCCAAATTGCAAAAAACTACAATGTGATGAAGTTTTAATCCAAAGCAATTTACAATAAGCTCAGCTTTCAACTAGCCAACCCACCTTCAGTGCTACTGCACTGGCTTCATATAAGTCAAATCTTTCAAACTGTTACATACAGAAATGAAAAGTGTATTTAGTTATTTAACCAAGGTGCATTCAAAACAGCCGGGTTTCTCCGTCTGCAGTAGTAGATTTTACATTCTGCTGTCCTAATATCAAACATGAGCTTTTTCTAGCATTTTCAAGCCAGGATAGCAAACAAGTAATGTTTACACCTCCAGGATATGTTAGCCAGACAAGCTCAGCTGGCTTTGACCACATTTGTGGTCAGACTTCGGAAAAGACAGAATGAGTTGAGTGTACAGAGACAAAACAATGTGGGCCCAGGAATGAGCCCTGTTGTAGGACAAGCCATGAGAGCGAATTAGTGTACAGAGACAAGAAGAAGCGGACCCAGGACGGAGCCCTGAGGCACCCCAGTAATGAGTTTGACACATACCCTTGGAACAGTATTCTCTCTTCATCCTTATGAAACACAGATAAGCATTGCTATCTAAACAAAAAAAACTAATTTCTCCAGGAGTGGAAAGATCTGCCATTTAGCCAGACATAGTTGTAATAACTTTGGTAAAATTCTCGTGTGTTTCTGTGTGTGTGTTTTGTAAAGAGGGGTGGCAGTTTTGTACTGAAACACAGCAGTGACGGGGAGACACTCACTCGTCACCACTTAATGAGGGGCTGGGCTGTCTTTGACCCCCTATTAGACCTAGCTACAGACACAGACACACACTCACACACACCATCCAGTGTGTAATTAGGACAGCTCCACACCTGCTTTAAATGCTACGGCTGAGACTGACAGGTCTGTAGATGGAGGGATAACCCCCCACCCTGCTGCTCTCTCAATTCTTCCATATGTGTCTCTGCTGAGGGTCACTGTGGATTCTCAGGTCAGGATGCAAGATACCAAACCAAAGCTAGTCATTGAAAAAGTTGGCTGTTTAAAAAACATATCTGCATTTGTAAGGAGAGCCAGTAGATGGTTTTATGTGTTTTCTGTTTCTGTTATTCTACCTTTGCTTTAGTTGAATTGTAACTAAACACTTAAATGTTATTTAATTGAATTGCCGAAACGTTTTTGGAATTCAATGGATTTTTACTAACACAGAAGTAATTGTCACATTACTCAAATCCTCAGAATTTATTGTATTATAATAACTTCACAAGGTCATGTGAAATCTCCTTTGCAAAATGTATTTTAGCTACCAAATTGTCTAGTTAAATGTAAGGACACTGCTGTGGTACTAAACTCTCAGGCTCTCCTATTTTCGAAAAACGGAAATGTATTTCTTTATATATATTTTCTAATATATATTCTTATTTTTCTGTATCTTTCAACTCCTTTATATTGTTATGCACCAAAACACCATGCCATTCTCCTTGCATGTGTAAACCTCCTAGGAAATAACACTTCTTGATTTGGAAATTATTTAAAAATATAATTTGTCAGAATATTAGGCAAACACACCAATTATGACCTTGAAAAGCAAAATAAAATCATTTTCACTCCTCTCTTTGCTGCACAGCTCGGAGCGAACAGTGGCCTTCACATCATCATATTTGATGAGATTGATGCAATCTGCAAACAGCGTGGCAGCATGGCAGGCAGCACAGGCGTCCACGACACCGTGGTCAACCAGCTGCTTTCTAAGATAGACGGAGTGGAGCAGCTCAACAATATCCTGGTCATAGGTGATAAATAAACACACACGCTCTCAACTCCTCTTCCACAAAGTAACACACTTATAGACTCACAGGTGTCATTTCTGAACATCTGCACTCTATTCATCTCACTCATTGATCAGTTTCTTCTGCTTTCCCACCTTTCCACTAACTGTTCATCTGTCCCTCCCTCAGGTATGACCAACAGGCCTGACCTGATAGATGACGCCTTGTTGAGACCTGGAAGACTGGAGGTGAAGATGGAGATTGGTAAGAAGTGAAGAGAGCACTGATAAGCTTTCACTCTTTGATGTTTAATCCATTCTTAGCAGACTTGAAACAGGAATAAAAAAGTTAAAATTATTGACAACATGAACGTTTTTACAATGGCACATCAGGGCCAATCGTTGCTAATAAAAATAATAATATGGATTATGGGTTTGGGATACATTTTTAAGATTAAACTTGTATATTTATGAAAAAGATTAAATTAGTGGAAATGCAGAAAAAATTACCAAATTCTCTGTATCTTTCTGGGTTAAGGTATCACATCTTTTTATTCCTTCACACGGCGCTTCACTTTGCAAAGCTTGATAAACCTCATCACACCACAGATGCCACTGTTTGCTGTGTATTATGTCTGCAATGGATGATCTAGTCATAGAATACTTTGCAATTGGATTTAACAATAAGCAAATACTCATGATTTATGTCCAACCAGTTTGAGTTGACACATAATAATTCTGCTTTTTGTTGTTGAAGCTGTAAGTCCCCCATTTCCTGTCTCTTCTTCCAGGATTACCTGATGAAAAGGGCCGCGTTCAGATCCTCCAAATCCACACGGCGAGGATGCGTCAGAATGATCTGCTGTCCGCTGATGTTGACGTTAAGGAGCTGGCGGTGGAGACCAAGAACTACAGCGGTGCCGAGCTGGAGGGCCTGGTCCGGGCCGCACAGTCCACGGCCATGAACAGACACATCAAGGTCAGAGTCCTCCGGGGACATTAAGTACTTTACTGCACACAGTTATTCCAGAGTCCATGTCCATTAACTTTCAATGATTGCCACAGAACAGTTATATGGGTAAGTACTATCAATTACTCTGGCTGGCTATTTTATGAATATTCTATAAGAAATCTTTTTAAGATATCTGAAAAAAGTCAAGAAAGTTCCCATCAGAAGATATTCATATTTAACATAGGAGCAGCATATCTTTGAGTTTTAGAAGCCACATGCTCTGAATAGGAATAATAATAAAACATTACATAATAAAACATAACAAGTAACACCATTCCTAAAGGGGGTTAACAGAAGAAAAAAGAGAATTGATTAAAATAAGTGCATATACTGTGAATTCAAATCACATCATAAGAGGCAGCAAATAGCAAGAACATGTAGGCAAGGAACAGCAGAATATCTACAAGATAGAAAGAAAGAAAGTAATAGTAAGTTACAGGAAATGCTAAATAAATACATTTTAAGAATGTCTGCAAAGCTTGAGTTAGAAAAGGCTGAGCTGTCATGGTAAACTGCTCGGAATATTGTTGAAAGCAATCAGAGGAGTAATGCCATGTGTGTTTGTAAGGTGCATGAATGGTAAACTGTTGTATAGTACCAGTATAACTAGCCACCCAGGTATGTGTATGTCTGTGTCCTCACTTAAGTGTTTTATCAGGTGCATAGGCTCAAATCTACACAGATAAGGTGAATTTCTCATCTGTTAAGTGTTCCTCCCTCCACACAAACACACGGCGCAGCAGATATTAGAGGGTGTTGATAAATGACAGACAAGGGCCTTACACATGTCTGAAGGCCGTGACGCTTCTCTTCACTCCTCCAAACACTTTTTCTTCCCTCCCTCCTCCTCTCGCTCTGACCTTTCTGCTCTGAGGGAGTACATTGTCTCCTGACACATTGTGCAATCTAAATGTGCAATGCTTTATGTAATGGATTTCATTAGCGAGGGCCGTGGAGTTCATCCAGGAATGAAAGTAACTCATTATCAGCTGTCGCTCAACTTGTGTTATGTTTGTGTGGTTTGTTGCAGGCCAGTGCCACAGTGGAGGTGAACCTGGAGACAGCAGAGAAGCTGCAGGTCAGCAGATCGGACTTCCTGGGCTCTCTGAATAACGACATCAAACCTGTAAGTTGCTTTGCATCACTATCTCGATTTCTTTCAAATACGTTTGATAAAAAAGAGAAGGATACACAGTATAATCTACATCCTAATGATATAAATAACCCAATATACAAAACAATTGACTATCCCAACATTTTACCATCCTCCCTCTGTCCTAGGGACAAACATTTTAAATGAATCCTGATTTTGAGGGCATTCAAGAACTTTGTGAGAGTTTTATACAAGCGGGTAATAAAATAAAACATATATTCATCCGGACACCCTGCCTGAAAACGCTCCTCTTAAAAGAACACGGTACTTTGTGAAACTGCACAGAAAGGTATTTTCATTGGACTCCAAAAAAAGTGATTGGCTTTATTATTCACCCGTTCTAAGTCATTTGGCTAAATGTTACCATGACGTTTCAAATTCGGCCTCAACTCTTGTTCAATAAAGATGTTGAGTATTTCACTGATTATCTGATCAGCAAAACAAAAATGTAATGGATTTTAAATATTTAAAATAACATTATGAGTACAGTTAGTCTGGCTCTATTTCCTGTGTTAAAGACCTTCCTATTGGACTTTAATAGAAGGTGAAGGAAAATAAATGTCCTTTTTATTTAACCTCAGACACTCAAAGAAAAGCTCTATCTTTCTGTTCCCCTGTCCAGGCGTTTGGTACCAATCAAGAGGACTACGCCAGCTACATCATGAACGGAATCATCCGATGGGGCGACCCGGTGTCGGCGGTGCTGGAGGACGGGGAGCTGCTGGTGCAGCAGACCAAGAACAGCGAGCGCACTCCGCTGGTGTCTGTGCTGCTGGAGGGTAGGGCTCCAAGTGATGACCTCATGTATACAGTATACAACAGAGAACACATCATTAACTCTCTTAAAGGCTGTTATATTTCAAGTTTAGCCACTTTTTGTATTACCATAAACAGCTGATGTTTGATTGATGCTCGCCCTCAGGCCCGCCTAACAGTGGGAAAACAGCGCTGGCTGCTAAGATCGCTGAAGAATCCCAGTTCCCCTTCATCAAGATCTGCTCCCCCGACACAATGATCGGACACTCTGAGATCGCCAAATGCCAGGCCATCAAAAAGGTAAAAATTGACAACTTAAAACATTTAATAAGAAGCATTTTAATATAGAAAACACAAGACAAAGTCTGGATGCCTATTCTGATTAACATTGATAATATACTCAGTGTAACAAACTGGGATTCATGTTGAAGCTGTTTGTTGTTTGTCTCTTCTTTTGTTTTCTCTGTGCGATCTAGCTGTGTGTAATTTATTAATTCTGCTTTGATCTTAAAGGTGGGGTAGTTCCTTCACTTCAGAAACACTTTTTGTTATATTCCATGGAATGCTCTGAACATCCCGATAGCAATGAATACATTAAATGCTTTGACAATAAATACATAGAAAAATCTCATCTGTGGAAGCCGTGGCGCTGTAAAAAGCACGACCAATCATTTTAGCCGGCCCGGCTAAAATAACTGGATGGCCTACCTGCCTGTCAGCCTTCCATCTGTGCACAAACTTATCTCGTGCCCTCATTGGTCATGTGCACGTTCGTGTGTGTTGAGCGGGCTCTTGTAAGGAAGTCTGAAGGAAGGGGCAGAATTTCTTTCGGCTGCGTACTTTCAAATTCTAGCGCACTCAAGCTGGTTTCTCCATTCTTACCTACCCTACCTTTAAACTGTTTTCAATTTGTATTCCCTGTGATAGATATTTGAAGATGCCTACAAGTCCCAGCTGAGCTGTGTGGTTGTGGATGACATTGAGCGTTTGTTGGGTAAGACACCAATCAGAGTCACTGTACAACAAGGCAACGCACACCAAACGTTTTTTATTTGAATCGATACTTAACTGTGAATCTAACATGTCTCATCATTGTCTTTAGACTACGTCCCAATTGGCCCTCGTTTCTCCAACCTGGTGTTACAAGCTCTACTGGTGCTGCTGAAGAAAACTCCTCCAAAGGTAACACACTCCTTGTTGTGATATTTATTTGTTGCATGCACACTGTTAGATGCTAGACCTGAGGTGGCAGAGAGAGGGCAGCAGATCTTCTGGATGCCAGCGCAGAGTGTTGAGAGGAATTGTTGGAGGTCTTTGGCTGCGACTGGCATGTGTGTGAGCGCCTGTGTGTGTGAGTGTACGGTTATTAAGCGAGTGTTTTGCTCGGGGCCTGTTGTGCTCACAGTGAATGGTGGTGGTAGAGACCCATTTCTCATAGTTCCTTTGCTTGTAGTTAGTGTCTGTTGTTGATGGGTTTGTGAATGAGAGTATAGCCCACTATATGGCTGCATGTGCATGAGAAGTGGCGCGGGGCCGGCTGCTGAATGCTGGCTGCAGTGCTCCTCTGGGGTTGTAAAGCCCTGAGCCCAGCGGGGTGCCTGGGGCCGGGGGAGGCCAGGGGGACAGGGAGGAGAAAGGGCTCTGTGAGAGAGCCAGGACCTGGCAGCACCGCCGCCTGTGTGGCACCTCATCTGCATGCAGCATCACAACCCCCCACGCCATGGGGGGGCAGCCGGCAGCCATAATCCCCCTGTCTACTCGCCACTGCTCTGCCTCTCGTCCCTCGCCGTCTTCCCCTGGTCCTTCTCCAACTTGTCGGCTTAGTGCAGCCACATTTTCCGTCGCTACTCTTCTTTCTTCGCCGCTGTACTGTTGTCTCCCGTTGTGTTTGTGCTCTGTCCTCTCCTGTCTCATGTTATTTTCTATTCTCTGTGCTCTTGTTGTGGCTTAAGGCCATGTACACTGTCAACCTTCATCCCCAAATCAGTAACCTGACGCTCTAGATGGTTTGTTACACAGAACCATCTGAGGAGCCTTCATAGGGAACTATCCAAACCTTTGGAAAAGAGCAGAGTATATCAAAAACAATGCTTGGCTGGTGATTGGATGAACCCTCCGTCAATCAAACCCTTGGAGCCACAAACATAATTCAACAATAACCTTTTTCCAAAGGAAGAACTATTCTAGGGTTCTGGTTTAACCGCACCAAAGCTAATATAAATTAATTAAATCAGGTTTTAAAATTGTTTGACTGATAGAGATCATGCAATGTTATTTTTATTGATTGTTATGAACCTGTCTGAGGACCACAGATGGAAATTAGCTATTAGCTATAATCTGGCATATTGCATCTCTTCTCTTTGCTGAATTAATGTTTTTGCTATTTCATGGTCCTCTATAAATAAAATAATAAACTTTTTGGAGCCAGAAGCCATGATATTTTTTATTTAGGATGAGCCAATACCCATACATTCTTGCCTTTTTATTCCTGGTCTTCCGACTCTTAAGAAGACGCAGGTCTGATCTGAACAGTTGAACGGATTGAGTACTGAATAACGTCCTGAGCTCCTGTCTGCTTCTCTTTTTTTCAGGGCACGTAAGCTGCTGTCATCGGCACCACAAGGTCGGAAGACGTCCTGCAGGAAATCGGAGATCGCTTGAATGCGCTTTTCAGCCCACACTCCATTCCCAACATCTCGCAGGGGGGAGCCCAAGCCTTGGGCGTCCGAAGGCCCCTGGATGGTAACACCACCTACACTCGCTGAAACCTGAAAAACACCGCCAATTCAACACTGACATGCCATGTGATTGCCTCCTCTTACCACACCATCCCCAGGCCCCCTATTTACCTACAAACACTGCCACCACTTCCCTTTGAGTAAAGGCTGCTTCACATCGTTTGTGCCTTCGTCTCACATCCCCTATCACTCGCTGCCCTTGGCCCCTTTTCCATGTTTGATCTCCCCTATGCCCTGACCTGTTTTAAGTTCCTGCTAGCTGTGACCCCCTCTTTTCTCAGACTTCCCTACACCACGAGGCTCCCACTAGCCCATCGACAATGAACCTCCCTTTCACATCCATGCTCTCTCCTTTCTCCTCGCTCCCCCTCCCTCAGCCTGCTAGGGCAGCTTTCAGGATGCGGAGCCGCGAGCCGCCGACTGCCCCAACACGGGTGAAGGCACACCCTCTGCTGGCTCGGCCGTCCAACGCTGCTCCCATGGCCTGCACTTGACCCATGTCCATACACGGTCGCACCCGCACACCCATCACTATCGTTTTGCCCTTTCACCCTTTCTTAGCCCCACGACAGACAGCGAATGACCCACTCCTGATGTCGAGTCCCTTCCTTAAACGGTCTGCTCCACCCCTTTGGGATCCCGGAGGAACTTCTCCAACCTCACCTCTTTGTCGTTCATTGTCCTCCAGCTTTCGAGTACTGTACACTCGCCTTTGGCTCCAACCGCGTACCCGTCCTTGCTCCTCACGCTCCATGCTTCCTCCTTTTTCCCATGGCTTGTCATACAATCGTCCCACTGTACTACATTCCATGTGTCTTTCCACAGAATTGCTCTCGGCTCTTTCCTCCCCCTCACCTTTCTCTAACGCCAACTACGATTAAGTCACCCTCTCTTTTCCTCACCCTACTGAATGAATTCCTCTGAAGCCTTACACCTGCATCTACTCTCCCCACTTCACCTGCTCCTCCTTCATGATGAGCTGACTTCCCTCTTGATCTCTCCTGACACACCTACCTGCTACATATCGACACTCCCATGACGCCTCAGCCTGTACCTCCGTGTTTTGTTGCTGGATAGCGCCTGTTGTAGGGGCTAAACTAAGATGGTGGACAGGGGTTAAATTTTACTCCACTATCTGCATTCGTAACATCTTTACTGGCTAACAGATTTCTTATGCTGCTTGTTATTGCTCGTCCGCTTCATCCTGCACGGAGGGGTCTAACTCGATCGCTGACGGTCAGTAGGACTGCTCAGTGCTAAGCAAACCGGTTTTTAGACCGTACTTGTCCGATGGCCAAACGTTGGTCTTGCGCCAAATTTACTTTTCCGTACATTTCTTCACTTGCTTCCAATCTCGCCACGTGACCACATTTGGGCCCCTGGAGTCTTCTTCTCTCGCGGCCTCGTTTTTTACATTTCTCCCACGCGTTTTATGACACCTCCTAACCGGGTCAGGGACAGCCGGTAAGCTTTTCACTGCGCGCTCCACAATACGGGCTACGGGCTCGTCTTGGCACTCTCTAACGATCCTCCGCGTTCTCGCTTTTCCGCGTTCTTGATTCCCGGTTCTTTCGGGGATGCGGAACATAAGTCCCATGCCCAAATTCATTGCGGGAGAAAACATTACTTTAGTGAAAGCCATTAGTCCAATCTGCTATTCTATTTCCAAATCCACT